GTTTGATGACAATAAAAGCTTCAGTTTCAATGAGGTTTCTTTTTTAAACAGCAAAAAAGATCTAAGTATACGTACCAAAAAAAATCAATTAGAAAAAGAAAGCTTTTTGTCCATTTAACACTTATGAATCTTTTTGTTTGTTCACTTATCATAAATCTTCATTTACTGCCGTATATCGCCCTTACATACTCGTCAATAAAATTTCTTTGACCTTGAATAATTGTTTTATCAATGATGGCTTACCCGATGAAAAAAATGACATTTTTTAGCCCGAAAGTGCAGAAGGATAAGCTGTAATAAACTTTCGATGTTCAGATGTGTACCCAAAGATACTAACTCGTAGATATCAACATCATCACCAATATATGTTAAACCACCGTAGAGAAACGATAAAAGAAAATGGACAGCTGTTCTCGAGTAACTGAAATAGTACTTGCATCCAAAAAATCCGCCAGTTTTATTTCTTGATTAGAGATGTTTTCGTAAAAGCGGCTTTTACTTGTGCTATATTCCAAAAAAAGAAAAAAAAATTCAATGCATTTGCGAAGATTTCTTAGAACAATGAGTAAATGCGGAATGCGGTCAATCACATGACCTCATTTCAAAAGCTGCTTAATTATTTATCAAATCGGAAAATCATTATTTTCAACTGATAGATACCCTTTCAATTCAATATACTTGACACGTTGTTTCTGCAACTGATTTTTGAAGTATGCTGAAGTGGCCGACAAAACACATCTGAAGAGGAAAAGGTGAACCAAAGCAACAGAACTGCAGAAAGAAGATGATGGCTCAGAATTGTTACAAATTATTTAGAAAGTTGATAACCTATGAGCGAAGAGTTCACCATTGTCAGTTTTAACCACAATATCGGTGTCAATGTTCTTCAAGTACATGTTCAGTAAGTCTTCAGCCAATTTACACGAAGGATTTCGATCCACGGGTGGAGCGCTGACTGTAAGCAAAACGATCTGTCAAAAAATAGTAGCCTTAGAATGCTTACATCAAATGTTTGATGATAGATTAGACAATAGAAGGGGAAGCTGTACAAAGTTTTGTTGCTACAGGATAAAACAAAAAGTGCTCCTTCATTTGCTGTCGTAAAAAAAATTTTTTTAAAACATCTTCATCAAAAATAGTTTTTTACAACTTTTACAGAACTTTAGCATAAGTGTGTATATCAGCAAAATACATAACGTGATTACTTTTTACTGCTGCTGCTTTGGTTAATGTTTTTGCCATTACACTGATATTGCCACAAAAATACCAGTTGTATAAACAAAAGTGGTTGGTTGGTAAATTTTTTAAAAAATTTAATTAAATCGTAAAAAAACAATTAATGCCTAAGCATACCTTCCACTGAAGATACATCAATTGAAGTAAGTGATGTTAATGAATTAATGGAAAGCTGCCGAGCAGCCAAAGCTCTGCTTCTGATTCCTTCTGGAGCGCTTCGGCACATATCAGATGTAGAACCTGCTAAAAAAAAAGGAAAAAAAAGACAATGTAATATGAGTTGTTAATGTGCAGAACTTTTGCCGAACAAAGTCATACCCCCTTCAAATTCGATAAACATTTGAAAAATTTGTTTTGAGGTAGCACAGCTTTCACTTCGATTTCTTAGTCCAGAAGAATTTTCCGTATCTTCTGACGTTTCTTTGTTGAGACTAATAAATCTCTCATATGCGTCTGTAAAAATCCCAGTAATCATTTTCAAAACTGTCATCAATAAAATTGAGAACTCGATGTCGACAGATAAGAGCGGAAAGTTTCATAACAACATTTATTAGCGGCAGAAACCTTATTTAAAAACCATGGAACGTGACACAACTGCTACAGACAGATGTACAGAACTTGAATTCACTATATCATTAACTGTAAATTAAGTATAGAGTTGATTTTTTTTCAAGCATATAGATGCTGTTGAGATCATTAACGTACTTTCAGGAAACGATCCTTTCCTATATTCCAAAAAGCCCTCCTGCATTGAAGAACGACTTTCGTCACGCTCTGTTGACATTGAGGTCACCATTGGGGATTCGTTCGCTAATTCAAGGAATGAAGTCATCGCAACTGGATCTTCTGAACAAAATCCAAAAATACGATATGCTGAGCACTTTAAAAATTATCATAATTTCATAATGTAACAAAAGAGAATGACAACCGCAAAGAAGTGGTATTAAAATGCTTGAAATAAATAAAGATAATAGTAAAATAAAATCCATCCCTTTTTCCTCAGAAAAGAAAAACAAAGCTGAAAAAGCAAAAAAGAAAATGAATTAAACTAAAACCCCAAGTCATAAAACCAGAATAAAGCCAAGCAAAGTGGGCAGCTATTTCAGTACAGAATAATGGTTAAAGTCACAGTATCTTATAATTTTCCAATGATCATTGACGCTGAACAGAAGATCAATGGAAATTTTAACTAGTCAGCTAGTAAACCATAAAAAGAGCCACGGAACTGGTTCAAAAAAATTTTGAATAAAATGCAATTGTCTGATTAGTAGATTTCCCTTCTTCTGGAAGAACTCAAGCTTTTTTTGAAGAACAGCTGTAAAGCATGTGACGGCAAACATTACCATTTGCAAGCCGACATAAAGATGTATTTTTAGATGTTTCTAATGAATCGCCTTGTGGTGACGGTTCTTGTTCAGCTGTTTCCTCTACCTCCTCCTCCTCGACACCGTAATCACCGAGATCAGTAGATTCATCCATTTTATAGGTAGGCTGTGAACCTTCATCATCCTGGTCTTCTAAATATCTGATACCACTCCCAGATGTATCAACAGAAAAGAAAAAAAAATAGAGAAGAAAGGAAGAAATGCCATTAAAAAAAAAAGAATAGCTAAATTTATGCAGGAAAAAAAGCGTGTTTGTATTATTTACTCAATGTAAACCGTTTTCAGGTTATCATTTTGATGAAAAAAATTTGCTGAAACGTTAAAAGTCACATAAACCCGCTAAAGCGATACATAAAAGGTGCCAAAGAAAGCTTCAAATATAAAAAAAAATTATTTTCTGTACACATAAATACAGAGGAAATTTAAAAACTATGCGCAACAGATAGATAAATAAAAAAATTAAGCATACTGAAAAAAAAACAAAAGAAAAAAAAGAGGAAAGAAACCAAAAATAACTTTTTTGATGCCGTTTAATGTTAGCAACAGAAAACAAACCTATACCTTCATTACCGTTATCATCGCTTGGTTCTTGTTTCTGTGAACTTTCTGGAAGCTGAGCAACTTCGTCCTCAGTATATACAGATCTTAAACGTATATAGCAACAATCTTTCATCTGCTATGTCCAAATCCTAACTGACAGTACAGAATACGGTGAAAAAAGTGCCTAATGATGTGTATCTGTGTTCTTTTTCTTTCTGATTACAAATTTTTGTACCTGATAAAAAATCGAAGACCTTCAGAATCCACATCACCAACAGCTACTTCAAGTACTGCCGATGGGTTACCGCTACGCGTTGCAGCGGCTATTGTTGGTTCCACAAAACGTCCATAAAAACCTGGTGCACGTTGATGAAGAATACATTGGTGGGCAGGTAATTTACTACCATCGGCAGAAACTAACAATAAATCAGCATCATGTACATCACCAATCTAAATTGTAGTATAATAAAAAAGAGAGAAAATCGACTACACTTTCAAAAACCCCTTATAAAAGTTTTTTAAAGTGTGCTAAGAAATAGCAGTTAAGAAAGAAACTGAGTGGCAAAAACTCAAAAAAAAAAGTTTTCCAATAAAAACTAAAAGAAAAAAAAAACGAGTAGAAAAGTGTTTCATGCATTATGCCAGTGGTTGTCACCATCAGCTGATTTTTTTTCTTCTTCTAGTCCTTTGGCCATCAATGATCCCTTATAAAAATAGACTAATAAATAGGAATAAGGACTTTGCACTTATATAACACTTACAGCCAACAAAAAAGTGGCCAGAATTAACTGCTGTTACATCAGAAAGCTCAAAAAGCCGAACAGTACAGAGGAACGTTAAAATGAGAAACCAAAAGAGCACTGAACTACAGCACTGTTGTTTGTAACCCTTAAATAAATACAGTTCTACAGAATTTAAGAAAAGGAATGAGAGTTGAGAAGATGCGGAAGAAAATCAGTGTTATTTTGCTACTTCTGTTTTACTGTTAATTAATTGAGCTTCTTTATTTTCTGTGAAAAACCTACCAAAAATGACATATTTAAGCGTAACTGTTCGGCAAGTTTAATACGTAAAGCCTGTCGTTCGGCATTAAATTTGTCCCATATTTGACAATCCCGCATCGATTTTTTTCACTCCAAATATTTGATAAAAAATGGGAAGAGAAAAAAAAACAAAACCAAAATAAAAAATTTTTTTGATGATTCTAATACAATTATTCCCAAATGTTCGCATAAATTGTCTATATTTACTGCATTTCTCGCTCTTTTCTGTGTCGTGACTGAAAAATTCTAATTACAACAAACATTCCTGAATCAACAACTTCAATAACAGCAACAACGACGTAGGAAACAACGAATAAAAAATAAAAAAAGAAAAGATTAGCTATTTATGATGATCAAATTAACTGAAAAACTCCAGTATAATAAAAAAAAAAAGTTAAAGTTGAAAGAAAAAAAAGAAACTATTCAGTGGAAAATCAAAATAGATCGATTAACATTCAATAGCTTCTATACAATATGTTACTGTACTGTATATAACTAATAATAAATGAAAATCAACTATAACTGTTTTTTTTCTATATCCTTCAAATTTAGTAGCCAAAACTCCATAATATTTTAGATACCAACTGAAGTAAGCATATACAGTTTCGGTAGTCACTGAATAACCAAATAAAATTTGCTTCTAATGCACTTTTACCAGCATAAATTCGCCATGATACTATGAAATCCCATTACATAATCAATTCCATTGGTATAGTCAGCGGCGGTTAGATAGAAAAATAATAATTTTTTCTTCAGCACTGTTCAAAAAAAAACAAAAAAAAAACTCTTACAAACCACTAAAACTTTGCACAGAATAAAGACTGTTCAATTATGAAGTTTTATATTTGAATAATAATGATGATGGTGATACTGATGGTGATGATGGTGTTGATGCTAAAGTTGCTGCTGTCGTCTGCAACATTAACAACGGTTTTTTTTTTTATTTTTTGCAGCAGCAGCAGCAGCAAAAGCTTCATGTTAACCCGTCTATTAAAAGCCATTAAAAGTTCCGCTGTTCAATGGCCGTTTTTGCCTCTGTCTCCTCCGAATTGTTTCACGTATTTGTCCCCATTTTCCTGTTCTATCTTTTCCCAATTTTTTTTTTATTACTTTTTTATTGTTATTTCAGCAGACATCCATCCAGCTAGCAAAAAAAAAAAAAAAAAAAA